AAAGTAACCACGCTCAAAAGCAATATTGAAGAAGCCACACCAATTAGGGTGATATCGAAAAGTGAAGTCGTTAAAAGACATTCTGATTAGCGCTTAACGACTCTTAACTTTGAAAGAAGATTTCTAATCGCTTCCGGTTACAGGAGTTACGCCGGCCCGTCGACACCCTTAAAAGAGAAATTGACCTTACGAGTTTCTTCCTTTCAGGGTGATTGTCCTCCGGATACCGGCTAGTATGGAGGGCGAACCATCTTCTAAGGAAGCTGTAGTGCTGTAGCCTCTAACAACACGCCTTCCGGGCATAATTCTATAGTTCTTTCCTTGTCTGTAGTGTGACTGTTTTCTCGCTGAATGATATGAATTATGTGTAATCGGTTCCCAGGATGACGTCATGTACCAACCCGCCCCGTCTCCCCCATTTCTCGGTCGATGATGGTAACACGATGGAGGCCATTGTGGGGATATTTGAAAATTAATGAAAATAAATGGCTAAAATAGAAGAGACATTAGTTTTCGACTTTGTTATCAGTAAGACAAGATTTACTCTGTCGAAGAAGATATTTTGAGAAATGGAAGAATTCTGAGCTCTATAATCTTAATAGCTAAATTAGACTTTACAAATGAAGTTGTTAAAACAACTTTGATACGCATCGATGTTGCAGAACATGCTATTTGTACAACATTAGAAAAGTAGACAAAAAATGTCAGATATATCTAGCAAATATCCACCTTTCAAGTGATAAAGATATCTGCCATTTACACATTTTTTTGGAAAGTTTCTAATGATTGCAGTATAGCGTATAATAATATACATGAAAAAATTTCTCAGTTCTGATTGGTTAAGATGAATGCAGTTGTCAGTTAATTCAGTGCAGAAGAGAGTTAATTCAGTGCAGAAGATAGTTAATTCAGTGCGAAGACAGAAAAAAACCAGACATTCTGATTGGTCAGAATGAATGGTCAATGTCAATGTCAAGGTCAATGTCAAGGTCAATTTCAATGTCAGTGTTGCTTGCAGGCTTTGTGTATATTATTTTTGCACCTGATGCGCGCGCTTTTCTTCTGCGTAGTTATGAGAAGCTACCTCGTATTTTTTCATTTATATTATTAACATATTTTCATTCATATTATTAACGAAATCATGTGATTACCTATACTTAGTATAGTGGCATTGACTGAGATGAGGTTTGCCATCACTACCTTTAAGGAGATGGAGATATCTTCTATTTGCACAATTTTATTTTGGTAAAGGTTTATTTTAAGGTTGTAATATAGCATAAGTATAGTGGCATTTAAGATGCACGTTTTACAGTTTGCAAAAGGAAACAAAAATAGAATTACATATTCTGAGTTTAGCGTTTATATAACATATTATTCGCTTGTGCACCTCAGTACTTTAATAATTTAACATTAAAATAACGAATGTTTTTCTAAGTGCCTACTATTACAGTTTGTCATTATTTCGTGCTACAATCTCGGACAAAACCTGTTGAGATGCATTTCAAAAATACCTATTTTTTGCACTCATCCTAACAAACATGCTTACCGTCGCAAATTCAAAGATTGTTTCCCCTCTCCCCTATTGCAATGTTGTTTACGGTAACACAAGAAATGCATGCTTAAGCTGTTAAGCCCCAACAACATTGTACCAGGGGTGGGGAGGGGGGCAAGTTTGTTCCTTTTGGAAACGATTGTTGCATGGCGGGAAATTAAA